GATAGTGACTGGGTGGGGTTGTATATTATATTATATTGTGTATTATAGCTGACTGGGTGGGTTTGGACCGATGTGCAAGAGTGGCTGCTTTAAAAAAAAAGAATATATATATATATGCAGTGGTAAATTTGTTGTTTCAATTTTTGTTTCCAATTTGACCATTTCTTTGTTTGTTTTCCTCAACAACCTTTCCCACCTTGGGTGTCCAGTACTGTGGTCTGACGCGTGAAATTAAGTCCAGGAGATGGTTGTTGTGTGTCTTTTGAGGGTTTATTGTAACAAATTAAACTTGATTATAACAAAAGATCAGTCCAAGTTTGAAGTAACAAATCACGGTCAGTGACTGTCTCAGACCAATCACAGGCTTTATAGGCGCAGTTCCCACCTTCACCTGTAGGGGGAGACATGGAAACAAACTGGCATAGAAATTAAGATATGTAGAAATTAAGAAAGTAGGTTGTCAAATAACTAAAATAAACAAATGGCTCCTACAATATATGTTTAAAATAATCTGCCGATGCTTCATGATTTTAGTGAACACTTTGCACTGAGAAACACATAAACAGAATGTGTCTGCAACTCTTAGTAAATTATGCTGTCTTTTTTTATATGTTGATTACGTTGGTGAAAACTTACAAAACCTTTTTGAACATGTAAAAACCGTTCGAGTTGCTACAATGGTTTTGTTTCTCGGTTACTATAACCAATTGTTGCAGACCCAATTGTGGCATTGATATCATGTGTGTGCTTATCAAATGTGAGGAAACTGACATATTTAGTTAGGTTATACCGGGGTAACGGTTGCTGTGGATGTTAGAATAGACAGAAGACTATTTGAATACTTAAATAAGACGTGAACAAGTCGCTTTAGTGGGATTATTTATGTAACAGAAGTCTCAGAGAGCAAAAGAATAAAGACAGATTATTTAGACGAATCAAAATCTGTTCCTCCATCTCATAGATATTGCTGTTACTAAACCCAAAAGCCCAACACTTCACACTGATTTTAAGGCAGGTCACTTTATTATGTGCACACATGTCAGGGTTTGAGCTCAGAAAACGCGTTTCCTTTCTGGATTTAATAATAATTTCTGAGTCACAGATAATGAGGCTTTGGTCAGAGGGCGCTGTCCAGGGTGCTGAAGCCGGAGCTTTCCGGGGGTTTCTGACATTTGGGAGTCGTGTTGTTCCACATCTTTGGGTTTTCAAAAGGCCAGCCTTCATCATCCACTTCAGTCATTCCTGCCTGGGTTATTTATTCCTCTGCCCTTTGTCTCTAACAATTACAGAAAAGCTAATGTTCAACAGTGCAAACATTTGTCTTACGGAAGTTACGTTTGGTTTTCTTCATTGATTATTTCAGTTTAAGCTAGTACAGAGAGCCATTAGGGGAGTTAAACTGAGATTATCTGTGATTTTGAAACATAGTTTGGCATTTGAAGACAATTGTGAAAATATCCCAGTAGTTTTTTGGTTAAATCTCCAACAGGTGATGTGGTGAGGAAACACTCACCCTCCAATTCAAATTAAAATTAAAATTCAAGATACTTCTGTAACCCAGGGCTCCATTCAGGGTTAAGGTATGCTTTAATAGGACTGTGTCAAAATGCAAACAATCCCATGGTTCAAAGTCAGACCTATATAACAGAATACACTCCTGGTCTTCAGAATGGGCTCCAAATCAGATAAATAAAAAAAATCATTTTCGAAAGGCGGCCCCTATTCCCAGATTTATAACTGTCAATTCCACATGTTTGACAAAACTGCAAACATCAGCAGAATTATTTCACGTTTATTTAGCAGAGATGCTGTGAGACAAAAATTATTTGGGCACAATTTTACCAACATCTGCTTGTGGAAGTTGGAAGTAATGAAAAAAGATAAGACCAAAGCACTTCAAAGACAAGACAGCAGGGTTTCTTTATTTGTATGTTTTAATTATTTTCAGATGGCATGCCCCATTGCTTTGCCAAAGCAAAACTGAAAAGAAGAATAAAATAACCCCAAAGCACATTTGAATGGTAATATTGTTCTTATCTCCAAAAGGCTTATCCACTTTGGAAACCCTTTGATTGCACCACCACATTTTGGTCCGTTTTTAGGAGCTCTACCTGGTTTCGAATGTCCTCATGTTTGGAAGCTGTGTCACCTCTCTTCTATTTTACAATTTATTGATTTATTTAATCAGGACAGTGTACATTAATGAACACTCTCACACAGATTGTAAATGAGCCAGATTCTAGCATAGTTGCTAGTTTACATCTGTGGTCCTGAGACAGGAAGATAAAACAACACAAAATCACAAAATACAAAATCAGTCCAAACACACGTTCAGACAATGACATTACAAAATTAAAATTAATTAAATTAAATTCAATTTTATTTCTATAGCTCCACATCACAACAACAGTTATCTTTCCAAACAGAGCAGGTCAGACCTACTCTGAAGTTAATTACAGAAACCCAACAATTCCCACCATGAGCAGCACTAGGCGACACAGGCAAGGAAAAACTTCCTTTAACAGGCAGAAACCTGGAGCAGAGCCATGGCTCAGGTACTAAGCCTGTCACAATACTGAAGGGCTTCGTGCCTTTTCTGGAGATGAGTGTTGAATATTTGACTGATCCAAAAACGAAAAAGGAGTCGGATGGACAGTTGAACTGAACTTTAGTGAATGAATAAAGGGATGAACGGATCATACATCACAATACACGACCGAATATAGATGATCGGCTAACCTAGCTCTCTTTTCTTCGTAAACTTCTCAATTCTCACTTCTTCGTCACTTGCACCTATGCAAAGCATCATGGGATATTGAGTCCATCCTGCAAAACGACCACAAACAGTCAGACCCGAACCAGATACTAACTATAAAATGCCAACCGGATTCATGAACCAACTGCAACACAAATAGTTACCGGATATTAAACCACAATATCCCAAATAATAAATCCAAACCAATCTCGGTTAAACCCCAAAACAAATTCTCAACAATGAGTCACCGCTAATCGCCCTGTCTGCGTCTGCTCATAATTACATGATTGATGCGAGAGGATGAAGAGGATGAAGAGGATGAAGAGGATGAAGAGGATGAAGAGGAACATCATTCTCTCAGATTCTGCCAATCAGACAGAGGTGAGCTCAACAAGAACTGAGTGGGCAGCATTACGTCTTCAGTCTGTGAGGAATTCTGATTAAAAACAAAAGGCTTCCTGCCACTTTGCTAATAGAAAATGAGAAAATGACTCCGTCAGTCTTCAGAACTGGAGCCATGGCAACTAGTGGGAGATATCATAACGAAAAGCTCTGTGTTTAGTCAAAGTTTAAGGCAAACGTGTTGACTTTTAACT